TATGCCAAAATCAGACAAATATTTTACAAAAAAAAAAAAAGAGAGAGAGAGAGAAAAAACAACAGGTAAGTAAAACTGATGAACATAGACGCAAAAATCCTCAACAAAATAGTTGCAAACAGAAGCCAACAACACATAAAAATCATTGAGTGGGATTTATTCCAGGGATGCAAAGATTTGTCACATATGCAAATCAATTAATGCGATACATCATATTAACAAATTAAAGAATAAAAACCACGTAGTCATCTCAACAGGAAAAACTTTTGACAAAATTTGACATTTATTTATAATTAAAAACTCCAGAAAGAAGGCATAGATAGAACCCAACTCACCATAATAAAGACCATATAGGACAAATTCACAGCGTACATAATTATTTTTTTAATTTATTTATTTTTAGTAGGAGGATAATTGCTTTGTGGCACTGTGTTGCTTTCTGCCATATGTCAACAAGAATCAGGCATGGGTATATATATGATATGTCCCCCTCGCTCTTGAAACCCCCTTCCACTTTTCACCCTATCTTTCCCATCTAGGTAGTCACAGAGCAATGGTTTGAGCTTCCTGAGTCATACGGCAAATTGTCACTGAATATCTATTTTTCAGATGGTAATGTATATGATTCCATGCTACTCTCTCAATTCGTACCCCCTTCCTTCCACTATTGTGTCCACAAGTCTCTACCTCTTACAAGTCTGCATCTCCATTGTGGCTCTGCAAACAGGTTCAATACCATTTTTCTAGATTCCTTATATATGTGTTAATATACAATATTTTCTTTTCTCTTTCTGACTTGCTTCACTCTGTATAGCAGGCCCTAGGTTCATCAACCACATTAAAACTGACTCAAATGCATTCCTTTTTATAGTTGAGTAATATTCCGTTGTGAACAGAGAACTTCCAGATGCTCAACCTGGCAAAGGCAGAGGAACCAGAGATCAAAATTGTCAAATTTCACTGGATCATAGAGAAAGCAGGGAATTCCAGAAAAACATCTATCTCTCTTTCACTGACTATGCTAAAGCCTTTGACTGTGTGGGTCATAACAACTTGGAAAACCCTTTAACGAGTTGGAAATACCAGACCATCTTACCTGTCTCCTGAGAAACCTGTATGTGGGTCAAGAAGCAACAGTTATAACACGGTATGGAACAACTGACTAGCTCAGGATTGAGGAAGGAGTAAGATAATGCAGTTTATTGTCAGTCTGTTAAACTTATACACAGAGCACATCATGTGAAATGCCAGGCTGGGTGAGTTACAGGCTCTTCCTGATTTTTCATTGTTAGTGTATAGAAATGCAAGGGATTTCCGTGTATTGATTTTGTATCCTATGACTTTACTAAAAGTGAATTACCTCTAGTAATTTTCTGATAGTACCTTTACAGTTTTCTATGTGTAATATCCTGTCACCTGAAAATAGTGAGGGTTTTACTTCTTTTCCAATCTTGATTCTCTTTATTTCTTTTTCTTCTCTGAGTGCTGTGTCTAGGACTTACAAAACTATGTTTTGAATAATAGTGGTGAGAGTGGGCACGCTCGCCTTGTCCCTGATTTTAGAGGAAATGCTCTCAGTTTTTCACCATTGAGAATAATGTTTCCTGTGGGTTTATTATATATGGCCTTTATTATGTTGATGTAGGTTCCTTCTATGCCCATTTTTTGAAGAGCTTTTCTCATAAATGGGTGCTAAATGTTGTTAAAAGCTTTTTATTTATATATTGATGGTATCTTATGATTTTTATATTTTAATTTGTTAATATGATGTATCACATATATTGAACAATGCATGCACCCCTGGGATAAACCCAACTTGAACATGGTGTATGATCCTTGCAATATATTGTTAAATTCTGCTTGCTAGAATTTTTTGAGGGTTTTTACATCTATGTTCATCAGTGATATGGGCTAAACTTAGTACCATGATATGGAACCTTTGATCTCAAGGTTTTTGTCTCCAGAGTATTATGCTTATGCCTGTTTGTATCACCTGTTGTTTGTGGAATATGCTGACTTTCATGAATTTAGAGAAGTGAGTTGTCATCTGCAACACAATTTGACTCTAACAGTCAAATATCCATAAGTAGTCAGTAACTTTTCTGTTAAACTTTTCAAGGACATTATAATTGACTTACTCTATAGATGCTCTCCCTTTGGTGGCATACAGCCTAAAAGTAGCCAAAAAGTGTTAAGTAAATGGCAGAAAGTGAGGAGGAATTAAAGAGTCTTTTGGTGATGGTGAAAGAGGAGAGTGAAAAAGCTGGCTTAAAAGTTAGCATGCAAAAACTAAGATTATGGCATCTGGTCTCATCACTTCATGGCAAATAGAAGGGGAAAAAGTGGAAGCAGTGAAAGATTTTATTTTCTTGAGCTCCAAAATCATTGCAGATAGTGACTGCAGCCATGAAATTAAAAGACGATGCTTCTTGGAGAGAAAACTGACAAACCTAGACAGCATATTAAAAAGTAGAGACATTACTTTGCCAACAAAGGCCCATACAGTCAAAGCTATGGTTTTTCCAATAGTCATGTGCAAATATAAGAGTGGGACCATAAAGAAGGCTGAGTGGCAAAGAACTGATGCTTTTGAAATGTGGTGCTGAAGAAAACTGTTTGAGATTCCCATAGACTGTAAGGAGATCCAACTAGTCCATCTTAAAGGAAATCAACCCTGAATATTCATTGGAAGGACTGTTTTTGAAGCTGAAGCTCCAATACTTTGACCACCTGATGTGAAAAGCCGACTTATTGAAAAAGACCCTGATGCTGTGAAAGATTTAAGGCAAAAGGAAAAGAGGGCAGCATAGGATGAGATAGTTAAATAGCATCACTGATACAATGGACATGAATTTTAGGAAATTCCAGGAGATAGTGAGGGATAGGGAAGTCTGGTGTACTGTAGTCCATGGGTTTCAAAGAGTTGCACATTACTTAGCAACTGAACAACAATAACAGCAAATCTATCCACTTTTAGTCTACTGACCACTGTTGTCTGTTCATGGTTGGGCATTTGGTACCTGGCCTAATCACTAGTCTATATTGTTACAATGTTAATATATATTAGATAATATTTATTAGATGTCTATATTAGTTGCTTTACATTATATGCATGTGATCATTTAATCATATTAAAATTCTTAAAGTAGTGATTACAATTTCTGTTTTTTGCACTGAGGAAATTGAAAGTGAAAGAATCCATGAAGCTTTCCCAGAGCCAAAAAGCTGTGAGATGGTAAAGTGAAGGTTCAAACCCAAATCATCTGACTTTGATGAATTAGTGGTTTTTCTCACTCCCTTTAAATATTTCTTTGAATACAAAATAAATTTGGAAAATGTTTCAGATTTAAGGGTGTGTCTTTCATGCATTAGATTTACTTTTTCCACCCACTTTCTGAAAAAGGAACATAAGCAGAGAAAAAAAAATTAGTTGCATTTTCTCTCACAAAATATTTGAATATACCATAGTATTTTCAAGTTAATTTTTTTTTTCATGTTGCTCCCAGGTTCTAGATTCGCAATGAACACTGTTAGGAATATCTTAGCACTTAAAAAATTTAATTACATATGAATTTCAAATATGCAAGTTTAAATTATAAGTATTAATATATGTTATACTCAAACACACAGGTACACATATATAGTGTTAATTTTATGGCAATTTGAAGTTTTAAGAAGCTGTGATTACTTATTTAATAAATAGATGAGTGCCAGTCATTTTGTTTATTCATTCAACATGTCATTTAAATTTTTTTTCAAAAAGTTCAAAGATTTTTAAAAAGCAATACTAAGATGTGTCTGTCATTGTGTTTATATTCTAGTTGGCAGTAAGATGAATAAAATAAAAAATAAAGATATTTTGAGAAGACTAAGTACCGTAAAGAAAATATACCAGCATCTTTTAGCATTTCTCATGCAGATTAACTTATACTAATATGTTAAATCAAAATTTAAAAATTTATCAGGGTGCAGAGTATCTCAAAATGCCTGGAAAAAATTCTCAATTTACCATAAGGAAATGAGATCTTTTTTTCTGCAGCAGAGATTTAAAAAAAAGTTTTCTGTAGCATTTATATTTTAAACACTTGAGCAGCTTTTATACAACAAACAAAATGCATACCCAAGCTCTTTCTTCTCTGTTCCCATTTTTAATCAATACATTTAATTTTCCTATTTTTTAAACAATGTACCAGGTGAGCAGACTGCCTTGCATTATTATTCATAATTCCCCCAGGGAATTATCACAATTTGTGAAAGTAAAAAGCCTCATATTTGTTAGATTTGAATTTGATACTATAATTTAATATATAAATCTAAGCTTATGCTATAAATACTGGATTTCTTACACTGTTAATAAATGCACAAAATAATATAGTCTTGTTGTTAAGAAGTATTATTTTCACGTTGCATATAATCATTCTATGTTAAGCCCTGGAGGAGGAAATGAAAACCCATTCCAGTACTGTTGCCTGGGGAAGCCCACGGACAGAGGAGCCTGGAGGGCTATGGTCTATAGGATCGCAGAGTCCGACACGACTGAAGTGACTTAGCAGCAGCATTCTATGTTAAAGAAAATATGTTGGTATCACTCAGAAAACTCAAGAATCAGAAACAAGAAGAAAGAAGGGAGTATTTACCAGGTTGAATAATAGCACCCTTTCTCGGGTCTTCCCTGGAGGCTCAGCTGGTAAAGAATCAGCCTGCAATGCAGGAGACCCGGGTTAGATTCATGGTTGGGAAGATCGCTCAGAGGAGGGCATGGCAACGCTCCCCAGTCTCTTGCCTGGAGAATCCTCGCGGACAGAGAACCCGGCCGGACGCAGTCCGTGCGGTGCAGAGGCAGACACGCCTGAGAGACTAGGCACAGAGCAGCGCAGGCACCTACTCAGACTCGCGAATACCTGTGGTCACTTTGACACATCCTGGGACCTTGAACCCTGTGCGTGCGTTATGCATCTGACTGTGGTCTCCATGGATACAGCCCTTCCGGCTCTCTGTGACTCCCGCGCCCACGGCCTTGTCCAGGCAAGAACACTGCAGTGGGTTGGGATTTCCTTCTCCAGCCCAGTTGTAGAGCTTAGGACAAATCGCAGGTGGCGGATTCTGAGGCTGGACCACGAATGACTGTATTTTCAGTACGTTTTTTAATCCTGTGGTGAGTCTATCTGACATGAGATTGTAAACCATAGATTACTGTGGTAAATGTGATTCATTTGAGGAAAAAAACCCTGTTATTTATCAGTATCCTTTCCCTGGTTCTCTATTATATCAGTTTAGAAAATGTAAATAGTTACCATTTTAACTTATGTATAACCTCAAAAGGAAATAAGTCTGATGTATAATTTCTAGATTTATTCAGCAATATACAATTTTTAGCTTTTTAGCTGCTGCATTTTATTCTAAAATAGAGAATTTTCCGTCAGAATTTTTAATCTCAAAACCCACTTGATATGAATATTCATTCAAATTTTTATAGGGCAATAATTGTTAAAAATAACTTTGAAAGAAAGAAGAAGAAATCATCCACCCTCAGAGAGCTTACAGACTAATAGGATAAATTTTAAAACTGTGTAAGAATTATTTTACAAGGCACTTATATACTTACCACAAAAATTATAGATGCTAGTTAGGAGTAAGGGTGCAGAGTTTAGATTGCCTGAAATCACACCACTATGACTCCATGAGATAATATGAAAATGTCTACCAATATACATTGTTTAAGTGATGCACCATATATATGCTATATATATGAATAAATAAAGGATAGATGTGCTCCAAATTTGATCAAAAGCAACAAATATGGATTGAAAAAGTTCAATTAAGTCCAAGTAAGACTGACTGAAAGAAAACCACATGTAGGTACATTACATTCCTGAAAACCAAAGAAAGAGAAAGCTTTTAGAGATTTCAAAGGAAAATGCAGTACAATAATGAAATGAACAATAATGAAAAGCAAAAGTAAGCCCAAACAATTAAGAAAATGTCAATAGAAATGCATATACTGGTAAACACTTTAAATATAAATGGATTAAATGTTCCAACCAAAAGACACAGACTGGCTGAATGGCCGCAAAACCAAGACCTGTATATATGCTTTCTACCTGAGACACAATTTTGACCTAGAGACACATACATACTGAAAGTGAGAGGATGGAAAGAGATGAAAATCAAAAGAAAGCAAGAGTAGCAATTCTCTTATCTGACAAGACAAACCTTAAAGAGTATTACAAATGGAGGGGTTATTCTAGGTATATGCAAATGAATATTACTTTATATTTACACAAGCATGATTATTTTTACATATAATTAATATAAATTGCCTCAAAATTCTCATCCAAAAGTAGTCATTAAAAAATGACTAGGAAGTGACTTCAGTTCAGTTCAGTCGCTCAGTTGTGTCCAACTCTTTGCAACCCCATGAACTGCAGCACTCCAGGCTTCCCTGTCCATCATCAGCTCCTGGAGCTTGCTCAAACTCATATCCATCAAGTGGATGATGCCATCCAATCATCTCATCCTCTATCATCCCCTTCTCCTCCTGCCTTTGGCCTTTCCCAGCATCATCAGGTAGCCAAAGTATTGGAGCTTCAGCTATAGCATCAGTCCTTCCAATGAATACTCAGGACTGATTTCCCTTAGGATGGACAGGTTGGATCTCCTTGCAGTCCAAGGGACTCTCAAGAGTCTTCTCCATCACCACAGTTCAAAAGCACTAATTCTTATGGGCTCAGCTTTCTTTATGGTCCAACTCTCACATCCATACATGACTATGGGAAAAGCCATAGCTTTGACTAGATGCACCTTTGTTGGCAGAGTGATGTCTCTGCATTGTTGGTATTGTCAGAGGAAGTGAGTGAATGTGTAAAGGAATGATGCATATCTTCTAACCACCCCTAAGTCAAACTTCTCATGACTGAGATAATGGAGTTTACACAGTATACTTATACATAAACATAAACTTAAATTTATGCAATGTTCAGAGGAATATAAAAATATGAAGAGCCTTTTGTTTTGGCCTTGTTATGGAGTTTGGAATACATTCAACATGAGAATTTAAGCAAGGGAGTCGCATAAAGGGATTTATTCTTTTAAAAGATAACACTGGCTGTTCAGTAGAGAATTCATGGGGATAGACAGAAGTTAGAGATCATTTAGGAATCTATTGCATATAGTCTTTGAGGAAAAAAATTATAATGGCTAGAACACAGGTTTTAGCAATGGAAATGAACAGAAGTGGATCGAAGTTACAGACACACTGAAGGCAAAAATAATAAGATTTGCTTATGAATTTGATAATTTGGGTAAGATAAAAGAGTCAACTGAACAGCTATTTTCAATATTTGAGCCATTTGGTTGATGGTGTTTCTTGTTGAGTTGGATTGTATAAGGGTATCAACAATTTGGAGTGTCAAGAAGCTAAACTTTGTTTTATGTTAATTTTGAGACTTCCAAATAGACTCTTTCAAATTTCTATTTAAATATAGCAGTTATTTTATAGCAATGATAAAATCAGCCCATGATTAAACAAACAAAACAAAAGATCACTTGTAAATTATTTTCAAAAAATTTTTATTGGAGTATAGTTGTTTTAAACTATTGTTAGCTTCTGCCATACAGCAAAGTGAATCAGCTAAATGTAGACATATATCTGGACTTCCCTGGTGATTCAGTGGTTGAGAATTTGCAAGAAAAGCTATGACAAACCTAGACAGCATATTAAAAATCAGACATCAGTTTGCTAACAAAGGTCCATATTATCAAAGCTATGGTTTTTCCAGTAGTCATGTGCAGATATAAGAATTGGACCACAAAGAAGGCTGAGTGCAAAAGAATTGATGCTTTTGAACTGTGATCCTGGATAAGACTCTTGAGTCCCTTAGACAGCAAGGAGATCAAACCAGTCAATCCTAAAGAAAATCAACTCTGAACATTCATTGGAAAGACTGATGCTGAAACTGAAGCTCCAATACTTTGGCTACCTGATGTGAAGAGTCGACTCACTGGAAAAGACCCTGATACTGGGATAAATTGAGGGCAGGAGGACAAGGGCGTGACAGAGGATGGGATGGGTGGATGGCATCATCGACTCAATGGACAAGAGTTTGAGCGAACTCTGGGAGATGGTGAAGAGCAGGGAAACCTGGTGTGCTGCAGTCCATGGGGTTGCAAAGAGTTGGACATGACTACGTGACTGAACAATAACAATACATATATCCCCTTTTTTGCATTTTCTTCCCATTTAGGTCCCCACAGTGCATTGAGTAGAGTTCCTCGTGCCATACAGTGGGTTCCCATTAATTATCGATTTTCTATATAGTAGTATATATATAGATTTTCCCTGTAGCTCAGATGGTAAAGAATCTGCCTACAATGCAGGAGACCTGAGTTCGATCCCTGGGTCAGGAAGATCCTCTGGAGAAGGGAATGGCAACCCACTGCAGTATTCTTGCCTGGAGAATCCCATGGAGAGAGGAGCCTGGTGGGCTACAATTTGTCGGGTCTCAAAGAGTCGGACACAACTGAGTGACTAACACTGCTACTGCTACCGTGTATATATGTCAATCCCAACCTCCCAGTTTATCTCCTCTTTCCTGCGTGGTGTCCATGCATTTGTTCTCTATGTCTGTGTCTCTATTTCTCAAATAGGCATTGCAAATAGGCTCAACTGTAACATTTTTCAAACGTAAATTACTTTTACCAGCACTTTTGCTTGATTCAGAGTTATGTGGGTTCACTGCATCACGCATCTCTAAAATGACTTTTTAAAAAAACTCATATGTGTTCTTAACTAATTAATTCAACATGGTGCTGACATCCATGATGGCTTCAGTCTAAGTGTTTGAGAGTGTATTTTGTTCACTTCGACTTTTTCTTTTCTTATGAGAAGCTCTTCACAGACATTTCCCTGTGCCTTCCCATAGGTGTTCTCTTAGCCTGCTCAACCAACCTTCCAGATCTACATTAAAATAACTGAATCCACAGAAAACAAAATTTGAGGAGAGCATATTTGATAACTTTTACCCCATAAACCATTTCTGTGGTTGCAGATATGTTTAAAATAATCTAAGAATATCTTTTAAATTGCTGGAGAAGTGAATAATCCTTTATGTATAAAAATGTAATGTTTGTGAAGAATTTACTTCTCACTGAAAGGCAACAACATTCCCATCAGTGAAGGACATATATATATATATAAACCTTTTACCTAACAACCAGAGGCTGAGCAGATAAGCCAAATTTCATAACTTTAATGAAAATAAGTGCTTTATCATCAAGGTTAGAACTGCATCTACTAGCATTAGGTCTTCAAGTGTATTCTGGTGTTAGTAAACGTCATTAACAGAAAAACAGGTTAAAAAAACACTGCAAATGAAATTTTAATAGTATGGGAGAGCTAGTCTATTTATTTCCATGAAAGTTACTTTATGTATATGGATTGTCTGACTCCCCAGACTACTTCATATAAACTGCATCTACTTTGTACTGTGAAATTAATTGATTTCTTGTTTTCTTTTCATAAGAACTCCAAATCATGCCCAGGTACACCATTTTTCTCTTTACTTTGGCATATATTAATAGACCCAGGAGTAAGGAAATTCATTCTTCATGACTGATAGTATATCGAATCTTTGGAAAACAGTGATCTGGGATTGATTATCTCCTTTATTTCTAGAATCCAGGGTTTCTCATTATTTTGAGATCTTCTATAAAATTAAAATAATTTTCTTTTGCTATTTTAACCTGCCTACTTATGCATTTGTATACCTGGTTCTTTGTGCCTGTTCCTTATCTTCAACCGTTGTTTGAGTCAATCTTCAATTGCTGGCTTAACATGAGTACATTGAGAAAAGTAGCCTGACCAAAAAAAAAAAAAAAAAAAAAAAAATCATGTGGTAAAATCAATGTAAAATACACTCAATATACAATTAGATTATTCATATACTAATTCATGCAATATAGTAAAGTCAACCAAAACTAATCGGCTATCAGTTTTTTATTCTATGCTTTCATTCCTCCAACAATCCTTTTCAGAATAGTCATTCTTTAAATAATGAAAGGATTAGGCATTATTATATTTTAGCTCAATATTAATCATGAGTTAATACAATTTTATCCTCAAAGAGAATTTGTGGCAGTGGGAGATAAACAACATAAGAATTTAAAGGTAATTGACTCCTATATTTAAATAAGTCCAAAATATTTCATAAGGCTTGGTAGAAGGGGTTAGATCAATATACAACAGACAATTTATAGAGATTTATATATTATACTAGAGTGCCTACACAAACACATGCTTATTATCTTGGGTAAAAATTTCCCTTTTCTAACGTGTTCTGCTAAGCTTCTGTTTCAATAGTCTAACCAAACTAGAAGAGATAATTAGAAAATGATAAAAGATTCAACATATATTTTGAAATTTCTGAGTACTATTTTGAAAAATAGAACTGCCTATCTTAGGAGTAATTGCTGCCATGCTTGGAGATATATTCTATTACATTATGACATGAATTTCAACTGGCAAATCTATTCTAAACATAAGACATATAAGGGAGAATCACTTTACCAAGTTTCTCAAACAATGTAAAAAAATAATACTTAAGTGTAATAATTTTGTATAAGAAAACTTCCTTCTTTCTATTTTTCTGTAAACCAAATTTTCAGGAAAACTAAATAGTTGGGCCCTAAGTCTGTAATGAAGTCACCTCTGTCCATCTATTGACCAATAAAGTACACAAGAGGAAATAAACTATATCCTTTAAGTTAGTCTTTGAAAATCTAAACTTATAATTTGTTGGAAAATGTCACACTCTACTTCAGGTTATCAGGGTTCATCAGCTTGTAGATGTGGTTTTATTAAAAATTTAGGAGGCCAAATGACATATTTTGTTATCTTATCTAAACATCCAGGCTGCCACTCTGTATCAGATTCCCATGAAAGTACAGTAAAGTAAATGACAAATAACTATATGGCTTATTTTATTTCTATAGAAAAAACCAATTTCTGAGAAATAAATTTGGCAATGTTTGTCTTGCAAATATACAATTTAAAGATAGAAAATAAGCAATGTGGTAATTTAATCTATTGCTTTGCAAAGTAGCTCTGATACATCTCAAGGAAAGGAAATTATCTTAATGTGTACAATGTAATGTCGGCTGACTCGCATTTGATTTTGATAAAGCAGAGAAAAGCAAGGGGATAAAGCAGGCTAAAATTATATGAATTAAGAGAAAACCTACAAAAAGTGATAAGGGGTAGGTTATATACCTGACATTTTAAAAAACTACTTATGAGTATTAATTAGACTGCTTTATATAACCCTTCAGGATTGAATTTCCAACAGGCTAGCCTTTATAGTTTCTAGGTACTGAATAGCTAAATGACCATATTTTATTATCTTAACCTCTATTAACTTCTAGCTCACTGTATACATTTTTGGCTATATTTCAAGTTCAAATTTTTACATTTTATGGTTTATTGAGAAGTCATAATTTCAGTTTCTTTTGAAGTAACTATCTTACCTTTCTGTTAAATAACTAATGGTCTATGTTTAAGTTTAAAAAAATGTTTTTGATCATCAATTTCTACTCTTCTTGGGCATAGAAGCATTTCTTTATTGGTTTAGGAGACAGCCCTCATCTCTGAGCATGGAATTGTGATCTCGCAAGATTTAAAGCCTATAAAGTTTTGTGTCTGAATGATATGATCATATTTCATCAAAGCAAGCAGGTATTATCCTTGTGTAATTTAGCTTATGGTTGACTAATGGACCCAGTTTGAGGTTGTGTCTACATGCAGAAAATGGGAAGAAAAAGAAGGACCCACAGTGCAAGTTCAAAACTGTCCAAATGACTATATTCTTTTTAGAATGAGAGTTTCTTGGAGAAGAGAATTTACTTAGTCCAACTTTGAACTTTTAATTCTGAGAACGATGTATGGCACATAGAAAGGAAGTAGTAAATGTTTCAAGAGAGAATGACAATGCGGTTATTTGAATGAATGGGTTAATTGATTCATGAACCAATATACAAAACAGTCAAATAATCCTCTTCATGGTTTTCTATTAGTGTTTTCCTAGCCAAGTCTTCTGATCACCTTGGTCCTCTTACAACTTTATAGATTTATTTAGTTACTACTATTCACTTTTTGCAAATGATAAAACCGAGGCTAAAGGGACAAAAATTAAGTACTCATGTTGAGAAAACTAGTAAGCAATGAAACTGTGATTAAAGTACAAATTTTGTCTTCAAAACATTATCTTTTCACTACTTTCTAATCCTCTGAATCTGTATACTTGTGTTTATACAATATATTGAAGATGAACATGCATAAATGAACATATATTCATTTTATAGATATAATGTACAATAGAATGCATGAGCATATATTTAAATGTATGTTCATTTTATGGGTATGTATAGCTTCAGGCATACTTCTGACTGCTCACAGGTGAGAGTCAAATGTATCAACAAATATTAATATACTTTGAGCATTAAAATTCCCATGGATAAAAGAGAGTTCCTATAACTACTTCCTGTCTTTATAATCTGAAAAGTGATGGCACCCACCCAAACATATATATGTATATATATATATATATATGTATGTATATATATATATGTTATGTATGTATGTATTTTCTTTTAGTCTATTACAATCATTGGTATCCTTTAAGAAAATCCCAAATGCCAAATGATCTCTAGTTTTGATACAAATAAGCTTCTCTGAACACACAAAGCCGACTATAGTTGGCTTATCTCATTTCCAAACTTAGCTACACTACTAGTTCCTCTTATCATATTCCACTTGTTTCTTTTCTAACACATCTGTCTATAGGGTCTTGGGGGACAATAGAGATCTGTGCCCCTCATCCACCCTTGACTACTCTAACATGTAATACATGTTAATAAAAAGACATTTCATATACACTTTAAAAAATTCAATAATTCAGATATTCATATTTTCTATTAGAAAAATATTGTATACTCTGTTGTATAATTTCTTCTTCTTTTTTTTTTTTTTGTTTCAAAGCAAAGAACAAAGCCACTGAAACAGCCGTGGAGCGCAGTGCTCAGCAAAAACGAATCAGCCTCCCTGACTTCAGACTATATATAGCACAAAGTAACAGTAAACAAGACAGTATGGTACTGGATTTTTTTATTTTTGGGGGGGGCTCCAAAATCACTGCAGATAGTGACCGCAACCATGAAATTAAAAGACGCCTGCTCCTTGGAAGAAAAGTTATGACCAACCTAGACATCATATTAAAAAGCAGAGACATTACTTTGTCAGCAAATATCCGTCTAGTCAAGGCTATGGTTTTTCCAGTGGTCATATATGGATGTGAGAGTTGGACTATAAGGAAAGCTGAGTGTGGAAGAATTGATGCTTTTGAACTGTGGTGTTGGAGAAGACTCTTGAGAGTCCCTTGGACTGCAAGGAGATCCAACCAGTCCATCCTAAAGGAGATCAGTCCTGGGTGTTCATTGGAAGGACTGATGCTGAAGCTGAAACTCCAATACTTTGGCCACCTCATGCGAAGAGTTGACTCATTGGAAAAGACCCTGATGCTGGGAGGGATTGGGGGCAGGAGGAGAAGGGGACGACAGAGGATGAGATGGCTGGATGGCATCACTGACTCGATGGACATGAGTTTGAGTAAACTCCGGGAGTTGGTGATGGACAGGGAGGCCTGGCGTGCTGCGGTCCATGCAGTCACAAACAGTCGGACATGACTGAGCGACTGAACTTAACTGAACTGAATGGTTGTACAATAGTATCAATGAGCTTAACACCACTGAACTGTATACTTTAAAATGATTAAGATAGTAAATTTTGTTATGTGCATTTTATCACAATAAAAATATTGAAAAAAAGCAAAAAATAAGAATGAATTAACTGATACATACAATACAGATAAACCTGTACATACTAAGTGAAATAAGCTAGTCACAAAACCCACATATTATACCATTTATTTGAAATGGTAAGGCAAATCTACAGAGACAGAAGATAGATTAGTAATTACATAGGGCTTGTAGGGTGATAGCTAAAGGGCATGAGATTCCTTTTTGGAGTGATCTGGGTGTTCACAAAGTCCTTTGATAACTCTACTAACTATAATATAATTGTAGTTAGTCACAATAAAGTAAATTATAATCTCAAAAGGGATGCCCACTGGCTCACATTAGAAGGACATGAGGGTAGAATAAGAAGATGACAGAAAAGAAACTGGAAGAAAGCAAAAAACTTTACATTTTGTATATAAAACTGTTTTCCCATTATGTCATTGAGAACTGAATAGACTGCAATGGATTATAAACTTCCCTGAGAACATGGGCTCCTAAATGCAAGTAAGACCAAATATTTCTTACAAGAATAGAAGATAGTTAACTCTGTGTGGGATAACTATGACAACACTGTGGTATTAATAATTGGTATGAAGAGTATAATAGTAAGTAAATAGTTGAGGCATCTGTCAATAGGCTACTGTAAGTACCAGCCACTAGCACTCTTTTTGTTTTTCTCTCATTTTGAATAGAAACTTCTTTTATTTATTCTAATTCTTTCATTAAATATTTATTATAATTTGTGAAAGGTACTAAGATGAGGGAGGGATAAAGATGTAAAATGAAGATCCAGGTATGGTCTCTGGCAAAAGAAGCTCACATTTTATAGACGAATGGTACTCATTTGTAATATAATTAGTTAGAGTTGAGTGAAGGCTAACTCTCAGGATTCCAGCTTATATTACTAAGATAAAAATGATGGAACCAAATAGTGAAAAAGTATGGAAATACAAGTCAAGTTAGGGTCCAGAGTTTCTCAATTACTGAACATGCAATTGGTATTATCTGTGGAACAATTCTTCAGTGTGTTGAAAAGTCCTATTAATTGTAGAGCACTTAGTATCCCTGGCACTCATGCATTCGTGCTCAGGCGTGTCCAACTCTTTGTGACCTTATGGACTGCAGCCCGCCAGGATCCTCTGTCCATGGGATTCTCCAGGCAAGAATACTGGAGTGGGTTGCCATGCCCTCCTCCGAGGGATCTTCCTGACCCAGGGATCGAATTCAGCTCTCCTGCACTGCAGACAGATTATTTGCCATCTGAGCCAGCAGGGAAGCACTATTGTGTATAAAATAGATAATTAATAAAGACCCGCTTTTTAGCACAAGGCACTCTACTCAATACTCTGTAATGTCTGCATGGCAAAGTACTCTAAAAAGAGTGGTGTGTATATATATATATATTTTATATATTATTATATATTATATAAATATATAGCTGATTCACTTGCTGTACCCCTGAAATGAACCAACATTATAAATCAACTATGCCTGAATTAAAATTAAACAAACAAAAACCCAAAATGAAAACTCCTCCAAACCTCATATATACAGAGAATAGGGAGCAGTGTGTGGGTGGGGGGGAGGAGAGGAAAATTGGTGAAGGGGGTCAAAAGGTACAGGCTTCCACTTATAAAGTAAATAAATCATGGGGATGTAAGGTACAACTTAACACTATATTGAATATTTGCAAGTTGCTAAGAGAGTAGGGAGAGTTCTTGTCACAAGGAATAAAAATGTAACTATTTATGATGAAAAATATTAACTATATTTATTGAAATCATTTTGCAATATATGAAATATTGAATTATGTTGTATGTTTGCAAGTAGTATAATGTTATTACATATTGTTGTTCAGTCACCCACTGATGTCTGATTCGTTGTGACCCCATGGACTGCAGCACACCAGGCCTCTCTGTCCTTCACCATCTCCTGAAGTTTGCCCAAGTTCATGTCCATTGCATCAGTGATGCCATCCAGCCATCTCATCCTCTGACTCCCTCTTCTCCTTCTGCCTTCAATCTTTCCCAATATCAGAGACTTTTCCAGTGAGTCGGCTCTTCACATCAGATGACTGAATTCCTGGAGTTTCAGCTTCAGCATCAGTCTTTCCAATGAGTATTCAGGGTTGGTTTTCTAACTTAAGATTGACTGGTTTGATTTCCTTGCTGTCCAAGGAACTCTCAGGAGTCTTCTTCAGCACCACAGTTTCAAAGCATCAATTCTTTGGTGTTCTGCCTTCTTTACGGTCCAAATCTCACAACCATACATACATGACCACTGGGAAGACCAGAGCCTTGACTATACAGACCTTTGTTGGCAGAGTAATATCTCTGTTTTTCAACACACTGTCTAGGTTTGTCACAGTTTTCCTGCCAAGAAGCAATCATCTGATTTCATGGCTGCAGTCATCATCTGCAGTGATTTTAGAGCCCAAGAAGAGGAAATCTGTCACTACTTCCATTTTTTCTCCTTCTATTTGCCATGAAGTAATGGGGCCGGGTGCCATGATCTTAGTTTTCTTTTTTTTTTTTCTTTTAATATTTAATCTTAAGCCAGAACTTCCACTCTCCTCCTTCACCCTCATCAAGACGCTCTTTAGTTCCTCTTCACTTTCTGCCATTAGAGTGGTGTCATCTGCATATCTGAGGTTGTTGATGTTTCCCCCGCTTATCTTGATTCCAGCTTGTAACTCATCCAGCCCTGCATTTCGCATGATGTGCTCAGCGTATAGGTTAAACAAACAGGGTGACAGCAAGCAAATCTGTCATACTCCTTTCTCAATCTTGAACCAATCAGCTGTTCCATACAGTATTCTAACTGTTGCTTCTTAATCAGCATATAGGTTTCTTAGGAGACAAGTAAGATGTTCTGGTGTTCCCATGTCTTTAAGAGCTTTCCCCAGTTTGTTACAATTCACACAGTCAAAGGCTTTAGCAAAGTCAATGAAACAGAGGTAGATGTTTTTCTGGAAATCCTTTGCTTTCTCTATGATCCAGCAAACATTGGCAGTTTGATTTCTGGTTCCTCTGCCTTTTCTAAACCCAGCTTGGACATCTGGAAGTTCTTGGTTCACATAATGCTGAAGCCTAGCATGCAAAATTGTAAGCATGGGAGATGAGTGCAATTATCCCACTGTTAGAACATTCTTTAGTACTACTGTTCTTGGGAACTGGAATTAGGATTGACCTTTCCCTGTCCTGTGGCCACTGCTGGGTCTTCCAGGTTTGCTGACATATTGAAAGCAACACCTTGATGGCATCATTCTTTAGGGTTCTGAATAGCTCTACTGGAATTCAAACTCTCACATCCATACATGACTATTGGAAAAGCCATAGTTTTGACTAGATGGACCTTTGTTGGCAAAGGAATGTCTCTGCTTTTTAATATGCTGTCTAGGTTGGTCATAATTTTTCTTCCAAGGAGCAAGCATCTTTAAATTTCATGGCTGCAGTCACCATCTGCAGTGATTTTGGAGAACTGGACTATAAAGAAAGCTGAGTGCCAAAGAATTGATGCTTTTGAACTGTGATGTTGGAGAAGATTCTTGAGAATCCCTTGGACTGCAAGGAGATCCAACCAGTCCATCCTAAAGGAAATCAGTCCTGAATATTCATTGGAAGGACTGATGCTGAAGCTGAAGTCCCAATACTTTGGCCACTTGAGGCGAAGAACTGACTCATTGGAAAAGACCCTGAAGCTGGGAAAGATTGAAGGCAGGAGGAGAAGGGGACGACAGAGGATGAGATGGCTGGATGGCATCACTGACTCGATGGACATAAGTTTGAATAAGCTCCAGGAGTTGGTGATAGACAGGGAAGCCTGCCGTGCTGCAGCCCGTGGGGTCGCAAAGAGTCAGACATGACTGGGCGATTGAACTGAACTGAACTGGAATCCCATCGCATCTACTAGCTTTATTAACTGCAGTGCTTCCTAAGGCCCACTTGACTCCATAATCCAGAATGTCTGGCTCTGGGTGACTAACCACACCATTATAGTAATCTGGTTTATTTAGATCTTTTTTGTACAGTTCTTCTCTGTATTTTTTCCATCTCTTCAGTGTCTAATAGGCCTCTCCCTTTCACAGGTCACTGACTTGTCATGGCGAAGGGGCTTGCCTAACCCAATGAAGCTATGAACTATGCCGTGTAGGGCCACCCAAGATGAATGGATCATAGTGGAGAGTTCTGACAAGACATGATCCACTGGAGGAGGGAACGGCAAACTACCCCAGTTTACTTGCTATCAGAACCTCATGAACTGTATAAAAGGACAATGTCAATTATACCTCAATAGAAAATAAAGGATCTCAATTATACATTAAAAATAAATAAAATCAGTACGTGTCTTTCACTGTATTAGTGAAGTGAAAAGAAAAAAATTTAAATGTAATATAATAGCTTCCATAGATGTAAACCAAATTCAATGCATATTAAAAAAACATTTAGCAAATTAAGAATATGAGGGCATCCTCATAAACTGATCTCAGGCTTTCTCAATAGCATCCACAAATAAACCCTAAAGAATAAGAGCAAAACAATAAGAAACTACAGTTAGCATCACACTTAATGGTTTAAAAAAATACAGTGCTTTCTCTTTAGAATTGATAAAAAGCAAGAATATTTGCTTTCACCCTTTTTTCCCCCACTGTAAGTCCCAGAAACTGCAATAATTTAAATAAATAAAAGACATATTGGAAACGAAAACATAAAATTTTCTTCATTCATATTCTTCTCTATAGAAAGTCCTAATGAATATATAAAAACACCTTTAAGGAAGATTAAATGAGCTTAGCATTGTTGTGGGGTACAAAGTCAATATACAAATTTGACTGCATTTCCATTTAATATTTTTAAAAATAATCAAAAGAAAATTGAAAATTAAAAAAATATTAGTTATAATAGCCTAAAATATGAAATACTTAGGGGTGAATTCAAGAAAACAGATTTTTTATTGCTTCAATTGTGTATTAATCTTTGTTCACTCATGTATTTGTATAAGGTAATAATAGATTTCTAGAAGTGGAATTCCTAAAGCAAAAGTTGAGCACATTTTAAAGTTTTGAGAGTTTCAGCCCAAGTGCCACTTATAAACACAAACTGCTAATATAGAATTCTACCAGTATACGTGAGCGTAACCCCTTCTTCACGCTGCTGCCAACATTGAATTGACAGTGCAGTACTTTAATGGTATTTACAAATATGAGTGCTATTGGTTGGATTGCACCTCCTCAAAATCAACATGCTGATGCTGTCTCAGTAACTCAGAATATGACTTGGTTAGGAATATTAATAGGGTTGTTACAGATATAATTGATTAAGATGAAGTCATACTGGAGTAGGATGGTGTCCTAAGCCAACATGACTGCTGTCCATATAAAAAGGAGAAATTTAGGTGCAGACACATATGCAGGGACAGAGAGGAAAGACGAAGGCAGAGGTGAAGGTGATGAACTGGCCCAGGGAGTACCAAAGGGTCACAGCAAATTACCAGACGATAAGGAGAAGCATGGAATAGACTCTGTCTCACGGCTCTCAGAAGAACCAAAATTGTTGATTGCTTGATCTTTGACTTCCTTCATCTAGAACTGTGAGACAAGACATTTCTCTTGTTTCAACCTCAATATTGTGATCCTTTTTTACTGCAGACCAGGAAACTAATAATATGAATGAAATATTTTCCTACAAGTATTAGTTAAGCTTCTTTGAAATGTCGTTCCATGAGTACTTCTTGTCCTACTGATTACCCATGTATATCATTTCCACTGATATGCATCTTAACTCTTCGACAAAAGCTGTTCTTAGCTTTAATAGTTAATTAGAATAGCTTGGATTTTGAGACAAGGTTGCTGGTCATTTGAAGACAAAAAAAATTCTATTTGCATTTTTACCTCTTTCTTCCAAATATTTATACCTTGCACTCTTATTCAGATAGTACTTGCCACAATTGTAGTTATTTGTGTATTTTTTTTACTCTGTGAATCAGCTTCATGGTGATAGCAAACTGGGTCTATTTTATTTAGCACGGTATTCACAGTGCATAACAAACTGCCTGACATACCACAGGTGCTCAAAGATATTTGCCAAATTTAATAAAACACTAAGAAAGAAACCATTTCATTTGTTGGTGTTTCTGAGAGCTCAGGAGCACCAGCAAATCGCAGAGAGTTATGTGACTGGAGTTCAAGTTTTATCCCAATTATTCTAGTTTGTAGAATAAAAATAAAGTTTAAAATATATAGAATGCCTAGCTGAGATTATAAATCTCAATACATATTGATAACATTCATAGTTTCTGAGCAAAGAGAAAGCAGGAAATGAATCCCAATTTTTCTTCATATATTACCAAACTTCTATAGTAAAACAAAAAATTATCAAATAAAAATATACTATTTTTTCTTCTTAATTAAATATTAGAGATTTATCTTTTGCATTTCCTGCTATTTCCATTTTCTAGGGGATCATGAGCTGTTTCTCTGTCTTGAAGGGTATTTTAAAGCAGTGACCTTAGTGTATATTTCCCTGGGGGTAAATAGCATGCATTCAGGATTAGTTTTGCTCATTCCACAGAGTTGAGTTCAGTACCACACCTCCCAGAATATTCAATAACACAAACTAATGAAAAGAGTATTGAGAAATAATATGAAGATCAGATGAAATCACCTAAGAGTGTGACAAAGTATACCATATGCTGCAATTTCCGTTAGCTCATTGAAAATACCAGGAATGTGAAGCCAGGATGAGATTGCCAGACCTTTAGCTTTGCCAATTCTTGGAATATAAATTTAGGGTGGGGTGTAGATGAGAAGGAGTACCTGTCTATCAAAATAATTATTTCAAAATGACTGCAAAGTCATTGTTAAGAAAATAGCAATACCAATGACTAACATCTAAAGGTTTTCTTCCCAAACCAAATAAACAATATTTTCAGTTTATAGTAGGATAGTATGCCATTTTCTTTTCAAAATCATCTAGCAAAAGATTCTTACTTTCAAAGCACAATAACATTTTTGCAGAGGAAATTATACTCTGTCTAAAGTCTGCTTTTCACATTTATAATTTGTTATAAAAGGAATACTTTTAGAATGGGTTGGTAACAAGTAACAGACATATTATTGGAGATTTTAGGTCCAAGTTTCAATGGCTAATTGAAGGGCTGATTATTTTTGAGGATAGGTAGTGTTTATTATGTACAGATGGCTGGTTGCAGCTCATTTTACCGTGTGTTCATTCTTAATTGTGGCAGAATTTGTCCTGCTGTTTATCTGTCAAGTGATTTAAAATAATACCAAAAGACTTTCGTTTCATACAAGGGATCAAAATATGACTCAAAAATGCTTTGAGCACACCATGATTTGAATCCAACCTAATATATCCCAATTATGGCAGAACTTTTTTACAAAGCAGGAATATATAAATAATTATGTTCATCTATTCAAAGTAAGCTGGTATTTATATAATGTCACAATATATTTAGGGAAGAAACAGATGTAAGCAATATTTCTTCTTGGTAACTACATTCTAATTTGGCCAGATATAAAAGTAAATTCTACTTTTGGAATCTGATTGCTTTTAACATGGTAGGGAACAATTATTGGTGCAATAAGACTGCTCAAAGAAACCACAATTTTCTGTTGGTTCACTGTTTTTCCCCTGATTTTGTGTGTATCTTGGGACAGGTGAATGAAATATTTCACCACAACCTGGCTTTGTGCCACATACAATAATGACTAAATCTGAAGGCACAGTTTTAGTGTTAAAATGTGGAACTACACTTATTTCAGTTGCTTTCTCTGTTTATTTTCACCTAACTTACAAATTCGAAAATGTAAGGCCTATTTTTAATTATTATTATTAAGTACATAATTATTTAATACAATATTATTGTACAATGTTGCACAATATTATTGTACAATATTATTAAGTACATAATATGATAGAATTTTACTTATTAGAAGGGAAATATTGAGTGAAAATTAAATTCAGAATAAAGAATTCAATTATTTCAGTATAAATCAAATTATTTTTTGTGGTTAGATCGTCCATAGTCTTTTTCAGACCTCTACTTCCTTTCCCTAGTGGGTTATATTGTCATATTGATATACGAGATCTATGCCCTTGGATTTAGTCAGGTTTTTAATAAGACCTTGACTAAGGATGTTAATGTTTTATGAGACTTTTACTAAGGTTTTGGGAGAAGCTCCTGAAAGAATAGATGTTGAAATTAAATGGCTTCTATGGTGACTATAAATGACAACCCACTCCAGTACTCTTGCCTGGATAATCCCATGGACAGAGGGGCCTCGTGGTCTACAGTCCATGGGGTTGCGAAGAGTCGGACACAACTGAGCAACTTCACTTTCACTTTCACTTATGGTGACTATAAATATGGTGAATAAATTCTTATACAAGATAGAAACCAAATGGAATTACTAGCTAAGGTTACTAAGATCCTTCTGAAGGATATGGGTCAAAATAACAGATGACTATCAATCATTGCCATGTTCCCAGGAATTAATGGACAATGCTCACTGACAGCTTTATAACTTTACCTTTGTCATGGTTTTCATGTTGCTCTCAAGGTTGAAGGAATTCTTATTACTTATCAAATGCTCTAGAGAAGAAAATGTTTGCCTGATTGTGTACAGAAAGACTGTATCAATGAATATTTTTTTCTTTCAGAACACATAGAACTTTTTAAAAAATTGAATTTATGCATTTTTCATGATATATGAGCATATGCTATATTTTAAAAGTAATTTTTGTAGTTATTTAGGTATGATGAAGATTGCTGTAATTTTTTAGTTTCTTTTGTCTGAGAACATAGTAAGTTGGAAATAAAGACCAATCATGAGTTTCATTTTAAGTAAAATCTAATTTTCATCAGTTACTACTTCCTTATCTTTTATATTTTAATATATGGTAAAGAAACTAATTTTTAAATTTATAGTGACAAGCTTAGAATCTTAGTAAAGCCCTGACCAATATTTTCTAAGTTCTATTCTACTTAATTCCATTTTTAATTTAAAATTCCAAAAATACATGGAACTTTCCTTTGATATGAATTGAAAACCTCCATCTGGAATATGGCCTTTTGAAAAAATTATTTTTAATCAATTAGTAAACTATATATAAGACTTTTACCAAGTGCAATTACTGTGTTATGCTGAGAAGGCATACATGAACCGTGAACTTCCAGATGTTCAAGCTGGTTTTAGAAAAGGCAGAGGAACCAGAGATCAAATTGCCAACATCCGCTGGATCATTGAAAAAGCAAGAGAGTTCCAGAAAAAC